GTGTTGTGTGTATAGTATAGTATATATATATATATAATATATATATATATATATATATATATATATATATATATATATATATGTTGTGTGTGTGTGTGTGTGTGTGTGTGTGTGTGTACATATATATATATATATATATATATATATATAAGCAAACATGTACAAAAGTGTGGATCAAAGCTGCTGTCAACGATTCGTGCATTCAAAGGGTACATTGATATCGACTTGACCACCAGGTCTTTGGACAGCTTACAACAACTGCCAATTCAATTCGTGCGATCTCTAGCATATAAATAATGGGATAGATGAGTTAGTGTTAAGCGTAGTATTATATGCTATAGCGCATGCGTAAATGAGTAGTAGACAATAGTTAGTTAACGACCTACTGGTCAACGTCCATACGGAAGTGCCTACCGAAGTCAGACTGTTCATTCCGGCAGAGGTTCCGCATATTTGTCAAAAGCTAGCAAAAGGCACCCCAACGTCGACAAGAAAACAGGGCATTTATATAAGAATAATATAAATCGTGTGGAAAATCGATCGTTGATAAGTTAAAGCACTTCATGCATTTTTAAACCAGGCATACGTATCCAGTGCCCTCAGTGCTTCATTGGAATTTCAAGCATCTGAATTGCGCATACCTTTCCATGATCTGCGCATTGTTGCGTCCGCAGATGTGAGTATTGAAGAACGGCCGGGTTAGCGGACAACACTCCGTAAAGCCATACTCTGTGTGTGGTGGATCATTTTAGTACACTGTACATACGTCAGCATGATCCTGATGTGCTCAATAGAGGTATATAGCTAAATGCAACTAGCATAATGTACTTATTAAAATCAATATCATTTCACATCTTTTTTTTGTAGAAAGTATCATTAAACTAGTTCTATAAAATTAATCAAAGCACTGGATCACAAAACTGGTTAATATTCAACCATAAAAATCACATACCTATACACATTTCTTGGAAGATTGCAAAGTGTAAGTGATCCGTATCAACAAGTGTGCCATCCATGTCCAGCAGAAGACCTTTGAATTGGGGCCTACTTACAGCCATGTTGGTATTTTACACACTAAACGTTTTCAAAGATAAATGGGACGCTGTCAAGGTTTTAGTAGAGTACATAGACTGATACTTAACATGCACGTGTGTGAGTACTCCTGAGATATGTACTATACAAGTATCTTGTAGTTACTGTACATTCGAACGTATATAAACATTGCCTATATTTATTGAAGTGAGAAGTCTGAACCCTATCTTTAGGAAATAGGGTTTTGACCGGACAAGTAGATTTTCAGGCGGCTAGGATTCTATGAAGAAGTGTTCAGAAGTAAACATGGTAACGCGCCAAAAATACCCCGAATGCGCACAGTTTGAACATTGATGAGGTCGATTCCATACGTAATACAACGTTAGAACTTTTGGAAGCCCATGTGCATTATACTTGTATTTTTGTGCAATTCCCTTAGAGAAAGGCTTCTTACGCGGAAGTCTCCAGTAGTGGTACTATACTGGTGCGCATATTATAAAATAGACTCATCAGTAATAGCGAACTCTAGCTTCATATTGAATTGGCAATTATAATCGCAGTGCCATTCAATGCTCGCCTTCGTGATACATTCATTTGAAGAGTGTTCTGACAATGAGCAGAGTAGAGTGAAAGCGGCGGCTAATCTATAACAAAAAAAATAGAAATGAAGAGCGCTTCGAGTTAAACGCTCTGGTTGCATGGGATCCGATAATACTCATCTTTCCAATCACGACCACGAGGCAGTTTATACTGTACTGAGAGTGGGGGATGGAGGCAAGCAACTATAATCCATCACTTTCACGTGGTTGTATGCACCGCACATAGATGAGACGCCGAGCCCATTCTATCCTCGCTAAAATATTTCGCAAATACATATCCATACTTGTTTTGAATATTTACAGAAACAGTAATCGAAGCTTTGATTGTAATATTCAGGCACTGTCGTTGAAATTAAAAAAAGTGAACCGAACTCTGCTTTGGTGCATGATCTCAATACCAGATAGAAATATGATGGAGCAAGTATGCAAACTATTCGAATGACTATGGATTTAGTGCGCCCTATGTTGCTTGCACGCAAACTTCATTAGAAAGGAACACGTGAATAAGCCATGCGAGGCTATGCCATGACCAATCGCACACTGGTCAAAATAAACCATGGAGGACTGAATGGTGAAGCAATGAAAAACCAAATCAAGTTTGATTCGTGTTCCTTTGCATACTTGTTCGGTAGTTTCGAATAATATATATATATACAATTATACATATATATTAATATTATGTATGTATATATACATAATATATATATATATACCTATATACATACACCTTAACTTCTTTTTTAGTGCAATGGTTTAGCTCAAACAAAATTGATATCTTCCACACATTAGGGAAAATAACTCGCATTGGAAACTCATGACAGCATAGGCATCTATGCAAATTGCGGTTTAAAAATCTATTTATTTCGAGCGTTACTGGGCACGCAATCGTTGTACCCGGGATGCGTCCAATTAAATGTTAACTAAGTTAATTATGTGTTTTTGGACTAGTAATTCCGTGATCCGAGTGATACTGAAACTATTTTCTGTCTTCCAAGTCCAGCGTATCTCCTATTATAAGGAGTAGTTAATTCAATCACCTACTCTTCTTCTGCTCATCAAGTGCCGCCTCAGCAAACGCAGCCTTTGACTCACGTTCCAGTTGCGCGGCACTGCAATTTGGCAATGGAATATGTAGACTTTTGAACAGATTGATGAACATATGTTCTATGACCCTCTAGGGTGAAAGTGGAAATCAAAAACATGGCTGACCGAATAGAAGGACATTTGGTCATAGGTGATCTTTTTCTATTCGCACAGGTTGCAATTGATGGAAGCATATCGTTATACATTCTCTTTTTTTCGCAGATTGTGACGAAAACGTTAAATCTAACCAAAACTGTATATATATATATACAAATAATCGCCAGAAATAATATGCTTACCGTTTCTTCTTATTCAGCTTGGCCAAGCGTGCCGTGTTGAATGATTTGAACATAAACAAGAAGTTTACATAATTGGCCATCACGTAAATGTAGAATAACCACGATCCACCGCATTGCTGATGCCCCTGGCCAAACAACAAGTTCGCGAATATGACCGTAAACAGCATAACATTGCCAAGGAACTGTGTGATTTGAATCTGAGTGATGTATTTCCCGAAAGTTCTCGGCATAGAGAAGTAAGTCAGTGTATAGTAAGTATACATGCAGACATGGACGAACGCATTTGAAAGCGGTCCCATCCTGTATTCAACAACGAAAAAATAATCCAGTTAGTACTTTAAAAAGCTATTCGCTTCGTTAGTGTATACCGATAAATGAAACTGACTAATTACCTCATTTGCATACAAATTGTAGCTCTTTCTCATCCCTAAACTATAAATCAGATAAAAAAAGTCTTGAGCTAAGAACATACCATGCACAAGCACCAGGGTACTGGTAGGCAACCCAGCAGATAGATGGAGTAATCAAGTGGTGGAACCAGTGAAGTCCGATGACCTGCTTCTTGCCCAAGATCAGGAATAGGGTATCGATATATTCCCAAAACTTGCTAAGGTAGAACACGTATATGAACTTGTCCATGCTGTTTTGCAGCTTCAGATCAGGATCACACACGAGGAGATTAAGATCCCAGTTTTCTGCCGACCAGTTCTCGTATAATTGTGAAGCAAATCCCCAAAACATCCATGCCGAACCTACTGCCAGGAGCGCGTTAGAAACCATAGCAGGAAACTGCGTATCAACTGGTTTTTTGTCTACCATATACTTTTCAAGTCCAAATCGTAATACTAAGTATACGATTGCCATGACGATAAGCGCCTGAAATGACATGAGTGGGGCATTGGTGTAATCTCCATCCTCCCCTTGGAAATCGGCGAACGACCGTGTAATATTTTGTATTTGAGCCATTTTGTTAAGGTTATCTTGATCTAAACTATATATTGTAGATTGTGCGATTCCAGGCTACTTCATGAATAATCCTGAACAGAATGTGGAATAAATATTTATCCTTCCAGGTCTACGATATATACATGCACATGTGTTGCTAAAATATTCAACAAGAAGACTATAACTTCAACTCTAAAAAGTCAGAACCCAAGTCCCAAAAAACATGTGATATATCTCCTGCTTCTACTATAGTTCACAAATAAAGCTAAATATGTATTTATTATTTTACGCCTATGCGATACACTATGCCAGTATGTATGCCTCATCTAAAGGGGCTATAGCTCTCTCTATCGACTATTTAGTATTTACTACTAGCCCTCACGCCCACAGCTCAAGTCACAGCCACAAGATTAATTGACCGAAAAACCTGCAGGTGAATAGGTGACGTTGACGTACGGGATGTCAACGTGACGAGACCTGTGACCTGAAAAGTCAGTGGAAGAAGGAAAGTTGTGTGAGTGTATTGATTGGTGGCTGATTGACATCAGACTAGTGATTGGTAAATTGGGTCACAAGAATTTGTGAAATGGTGTAATAATATTTGCCTTTGGAGTTTAATTTAATTTATTTTATTTTTTGAAATCTCGCCCTTTTGTATTTCATATTTGTTTGTATGTATTGTTCGACTATAAATTATGATATTTACAAAAATTGACAACCACGCGCCATTTTTTTTTCTAAATATAAGGGTTTACCAGTCCCAGACTCCCATAGTCCACGGATCAGTTGTTAACGTCAAACTATACGTTTAGCGTTTTACGATATATAGAACGTATAAATATATACTTTTCCCGCTTTCGTTGGACTGGCCCTATATACTTAATTAGGGTGCAATATTTAAGGTTCTTAGGTGCAAAATATAGTAATTATTTCGGAATATAGTTCTATTTTTGTTCATATTGGGTTTTCCCCGGATGAATGCTCGAGTGAGCAGTTTCTCAATGTGTTTGTGATAAAATCATAAAATCGAGTCCTACGGCGGCGGCCTCGTGCGTTCTCACTTCTCCCTCAAATCATCAAATGTCTAAATACTTTTTATTCTCTCTTTCAGACAGTGATCGTCATGATAGCATCCATTCAACAAAAAAAATACGTTAAACGTTTACACGTGTAGGCCAGCCATGGAGATTTTGAATTTTTTTAAATAAAATATTGCATAACTTTTAACCTTCTTACTTACAGAGAGTGGTGTCACACAGTCATGGGTGCGCTGATAGGAGTGCGGGATCGTCTATGTAGAACTGTGTGACCTTGTAACTTATATACATTTGTAACTTACATTTGAATTACATGTTTTTCTACTGTTACTTCTAACCCTAGTGATGCCACAGGTGACGGATGTGTGGGTTTGTCTATAGAACTGTCTGACTTTGTAACTTATAGTCGTATGTAGTAGTCAGAGTTACATAGTTTACTACTGCCACTTGTAACCCTACTAGGAATGTCACAGATGACAGGAGCGCGGTTTGCCTTTACAGGATTGTGTGAATACGTGTTACGTGTGTCCTGTCGTGTGGTCACCACTGTCGTTAATAGCAGATGCGACTGATACTGCCATATATACATATGCTGTTGAGGCCGTTTGCAGCATTCACCGTCAACACACGTGCGACCTTCTTAGTCTGTAGGAGCAAAGGCTGTCAGAAGTCTCCGGCTGTGTTTGCCAGAAAAATTTGATGAGTTCTCGTACGGTTATGGGTATGGTATAGCAAGTAGTTGTACACTCGCGTGTGCATTCTAAAGTTTACGACACAGTTCTATGAGGAATGGTGGCAGCACCACGAGCATCACATGCGGTCTCACTGGCTCGTAGGCATGTGTAAAAAGATGTTAAGGATCGAGTGGCCGCAATCGGTCACATGGCGTCCTTGCACATATTTATAGACTAATAAAAAGGTGTTCTGAATCCATCTCACTAAACTCGTGAAAATTTCCGGTGTTTGCTACATTTTGTCTGTGGTTGTACATGCTTGATGTGCACGAAGGAAACTCACGCAAGTCTTCTGCTACAACTAAATTTACACGCGCAAGTGTGCTGGTATATGGATGTATGCTACAACTGAACTAACACACGCAAGTGTGATGGTATATGGCTGTATGCCACAACTGAACTAACACACGCAAGTCTTCTGCTACATGGGTGTATGTTAGAACTGTATACCAGACAGTTTCGGTGCACATGCGCTGTATGGTGTATCGCTTAGCCTTGTAAAACTGTAGTGTGGGTGACTTCACAGTTCAGATTTCGGGTAAAGGGTTCTGCATTCCTGCATGTACGCAGATAGAGATTATATTCTTATGTAAGCCTCAAATTGTAGTGTAGTGTCGACACCGGAAACGCGGCATCGTCAAGCTGTCAGTTATATAGACATAACCCGTGGTTCATCTGTATAGTCCATGTGCCATAGTCTTGTTGTCAGTTATATAGACATAAACAGTTGTTCGCTGATACTATCCATGTAAGACATAGCTTGGCACAAGCCCTTTCGTTTAGAGGTTTAGGGTTAGGATGAGAATGACTCATCGACAAGTTCTTTAAGTTGTCTGAGACTTACGAACAATGGACAGAACTTCAACAAAGGGCATCTCCAGCATATTGACCCGTTGTGTGAACTATCCATCGCATATCGAGAATGTCAAGGTATAACGCTTTGCTATCGAAGTATCACTGATTATGTGCGAGAATGTACCACTCTCTACTAATGTAATACATACATGCACATACACATACACACACACACATATATATATATATATATATACGTCTGGTCTAACATCCATAGTACTCTCAACGGTAGATGGTTCCTCGTACCACCGAATCTCTTCTTAGACACGTATCTCTGTGATAGTGACGTTGATGTTCAACAGAATGCTCAACCCTTATAATCCTTTCTCTGTAGTTATTTGGAACTGGGCATATCTACGTGTTTAATCACATCTAAGTGCTCCTCCGTATATACGTGCTTGTTCATATTGAAGCGTTTAGTCTTATCTGCGTGTTTATTCATATCTGCATGTTTCGTCCTATCTGCGTGTTTTAGGGTTTTTAGAGTTTTAGGGTTTAGAGTTTTTATGTTTATTCATGTTTGTCTGTCAATCATCATCTGAGTCATCCATATCCCGCAGTGGCATGAACCCGTCCCTGTTGCATTTGGCATAGGCTTCCTCTGTCGTTATATTTTCCTGTGAGTAGATTGAACGCATTGCGCAAATGTGGCAATTAAACTCATAGCAAACTGATGTGAATTGAATCAATATATAGATAAAATAATAAACCTTTAACGGATTGCAGGTGAGGGATATGTATGTGATATTATCCAAAAGGCTCAGAAGTTCTTCAACCGTCCCAATGTAGTACAATATGCTCTGAGCTTTTAGGTCAACTCGCATACAAATAGTTACATAGTATGTGATAACTCACAGGTACACAGTTACATTGTATGTGGCAACTGATGAAAGGGGACGAAGTCAGCTTAAGACCATTTAGAGAAACGTGATATCTACTACAGCCACAAACATATTCTGATAGCAATGCACTGTCAGTGATACCATCTAACACTGAAACATTAAAACCCTAAACCCTAAATCGATGCGTGCGAGAGACTCGTGTGTTGTACCGAGAAAAGACAGGGAGATAGATGTGTAGACAATTATACGCACACTCGAACACACACACATACACACACATAAACACACACACGCGTATACATACACACACACACACATACATACACACGCACACGCACACACACACAC